TAACAATCACCTCAAGCTAGGAGTCAAAGAGAACTCAGGCTTCCTACCTCACACCATGTAGTAATTGTTTATCAACTGTATTCCCCATGCTATAAACTCCTAGCAGAAGAATGTAGATATGCTTGCTTACTAGGTGTCCCTAACACATCATAATTCTTGTGACCCAACAGATACTCATTAAATTAAAAAACTGAGAAACTCTCTGTCCTTTTCCTTATCCTTCTTGTCCCAGGCTATGCAGATAGTTAAAGCCAAAGTTCTTTGTAGAAATACTATCAGTATTGCAGAACTTCTGATAGAGTGTGGTGATTGTTATCTTGTGACCATTAATGCAGAAACTGATGTTAAAAGATCCTGAAGTCGCCGGGTGGTGGTGGCGCACGCCTTTAATCCCAGCACTCGGGAGGCAGAGCCAGGCGGATCTCTGTGAGTTCGAGGTCAGCCTGGACTACCAAGTGAGTTCCAGGACAGGCGCAAAGCTACACAGAGAAACCCTGTCTCGAAAAACCAAAAAAAAAAAAAAAAAAAAAGATCCTGAAGTCACTAATGAAAGGGGGTTTACAATGTGAAGATTGCATTGATTCCATCCAAATACATTACCAGTCTTAAGATACAGAAAGGTGTCTGGATAGATGTTAAGTGTCTCCTGACGTAATGTAACAAGGTCATGACAAACCTTTGAAGATATTCTCTAAGAAAGTGTACTAGTAAAGCTGGGTGGCGATGGTGCACGCCTTTAATCCCAGCACTCGGGAGGCAGAGCCAGGAGAATCTCTGTGAGTTCGAGGCCAGCCTGTTCTACGGAGTGAGATCCAGGACAGGCACCAAAACGACACAGAGAAACCCTGTCTTTAAAAACCAAAAAAAAAAAAAAAAAAGAAAAAAGAAAGAGAGAGAGAAAGAAAGAAAAAAGAAAAGAAAAAGAAAGAAAGTGTACCAGTTTCTTATGGACCGCTACAAGTTTGGAGTTTTTCAATATCTGTTTATAGGGGTAGAGAATGACGTATGTATCAACATGCATATGGAGGTCACAGGACAAACCTAGGGCTTCTCTTCTTCCACTACCCAGGTCCTGATAAAGGAACCGGGTTGTCGAACCTTGTCCGAAAGCGCCTTTACCTGCTGAGCTGTCCACGGCTCCACAATTTAATGTTACTGTTATTTCAGCCAAAAACATAAGCTTTTTAGCCAAATCCTACAGAAATTTGTGACCTTTTTTCTCCATGCCTCAAACATTCAAACTAAAATTTGATCATTAAAAAGGCAAAGTGGGTAATTATCCGTGGAAGGCCTGCCCTTTTCTGAATAGGAACATAGAAATTGGGGGTGGGGGAAACTGTGATCAGGATGTAAAATAAATAAATAATTTTTAAAAAGGAAAAGTGAAACAGCGATTTCAAGGTAAGTTACTTTAAGAAATATTTTTCGTGCATATCAAAGCCTTGTTGCCTCCTCCTGCCCCTCATACACCCATACTTCTCACTCATTTCTACCCCCAAGCACCTCCTCAGAGCTGCCACATAGAAGCAGCAACCTACGAGGCTGTGAGCAGAGACCAAGGGAGCTTCAGTTGGATTTAAATGATTGGACTTCATCACGGCAGAGTCCTCAGAAACTTCGATGATGGACAAGGATCTAGAAACCATGGGATGCAAACCCATCCTCCAATGGGCCCAGCAACACTCCTCTCTTGTCCCCTGTCCTGTTCAAAGGGGCACTTGTGATCCAGGAAATATGCTGTTGAAGGGCAGGAATTTTTGAAGAAAAAGGCAGCAACGTGATTCTGCTGGAAATGAAATTCTCTCTTAAAAATAAAAATGGAATTTTGGCCATTTTAAAAAAAAGTACCTTCACTAAAACTTCCACAAGATGCTTGTTTGCCTTCTGTATTTTCCTAACCTCTTTCAGCATTAATACTTTATATCACTTTTATTATAAACCTCTGTAAATATAAATCTGAAATCCGTGAATGTCTCTAGGTTTCTCCAATAAGATAATGTTAGCCATTAACCATAACAATTGTGTTCACATGGATGCCATTTCCATACAAAAGCAGGGCTGTGACTGATGATGTCTGCCTCACAGGATGGCAGTCTGTGGAAAATGGTACTCTCAAGCATAAGGAAGCAGCTGTGCAGGTGGACAGACTGCAGCTTTGGGCACCCGTGACCTTCAGGGAGCTGAGGACAAGGTGGTTTTCCTGGAAAGTGCTCTCACTAACATTTCAATCTGCCAAATGGGTCCAGATTCTTCTGTCTTTGCTCCTTGTGCTGTGACCCAAGCCAGCCCTGTATCTGCCACTGGATGCCACTGTTCCCTGGATGCCCCAGCATCAACATTTTATTCCCATCCTAATATATACTAAATTATTTTCTAACAAATCAGATCACATGCATTGGGATAAAAGAAAGTGAGTTAAACAATAATAGGCATTTTGAAGAGGGAAAGAAGTGTGGTTTTTCCAAATTGTTTTAAAGGGAAATTGTCTTGGAAATTTCTCTTTTTTAGTCATTCATTCATCCATCCATGAAGAAAATGTTCTCTAAGTGCTTATGAGATGCCAGCCTTTGCCCAGGGTACTAAGAACCAAACAGCAGGCAGGACAGGGGCTAGCAGGAGCTTATAGGCTAACAGTAGAATAGAACTGCAAGTGAAGGTGAGGAGGAAGAAAGAGACGGCTGCGTGCACAGGCTGAGTGTGTGACCAGCAGCTCCTGTGTTTTGGAATAAGCTGATGTCAAACACCATGAGCTTCCTCTTTCAAACACCTAAGCAAGAGAGATTAGCTTTACTAAACACTTGGTCACAGTTTTCTTACTGTTTATATTGCTGCTAAAACTAACTAGCAGCAGGCAGTAGTTTCATACTACAGAGGAGAAGAAAGACCCATGAGGCAGAAGACACTAACGCAGGCAGAGCCCCTAAGCCAGGGTCCTGGTAGAAGTCTTTGCCATTGTGATCTTAGCCAATATCTATCAACCTTCGCAACCACTTCCTAAGACATTTTCCTCCATCTTGCCAACCAGAAAGGCCAACACATACCACATTTTATCCAGAATTACATCCTAAGACTTCACTCTGTGGTCCCCAGTAGAGGACTTGCTCATTTTACTGTTTTGAGCAATGCTTTTGTGTTCTTGAACATTACCTCCTTGTGTATATGTGCAAGGATTTCCAAGGTTGGCATTTGGGGATGAAATTAGTGAACCATAAAAGCTTGCACACGTTTATATGCAGCATATGATACCTACTTGTTCAAAAGTGATACACAAATTTGTACTGATGCTGGTTGTTTCACGCCTGACCAACATCCTACTTAATTTGGCGGAGGAGAACCCTATTTCTATGCCATTTTAAATTTCCCCTGCATCTCTTGACTTCATGACTGTCCTCATATCCTCATTGGCCACCACTAGGACAGGTTGTTTGGTAACAAGTTTCTGCGAGTCCTTTACCCGCCTTCCTATTGAGATGTTTGCTGGGTGCCAGCTCTGCCCAGATTCTTTGTGTCCTCCTCCTCCTCTTATTGATTTTTATTTGGTTGGTTTTTGTTTTGGTGCTTAAATAAACAGAGTGTATTCCTCGTGTACAATCCCTATTTAGGCCTGGGGATCAGACACAGATCACCAGGGCTGGTATCTCTGGGCCTTCATTGGCCAAGCCATCTCATAAGCCCTATACCAGCAGTAGTGTATTACCGTTTTATAGTTAAGTCTTTTGGTGTGAGGTAATTTGGTATTTAAGTCTATGGTATGAGGTAAGGATCAACTTTCTTTGTCCTGTGAGGCAATCAGTCACCCTATCATTATTTATAGATTAGTTCATCACTACACAAAGCAGCCAACTTATGCCCTGGGCTTCCTCACCTCACGTCAGCCACTGCTCTCCATGGCTTACACGTGATGCCCACTCTCTGATGGGTTCTGCTGTATAATGCAAACTCTACCAGTCAGCAGGTTCCATATTTACGGCTTTCTCTTCTATTCCATTGGGCTACTTCGCTATAATGGCCTTTTAATTGCTACCCATTTGTAACAAATCTTGACATCCGACACAGCTCAATCCTCCAGAAATTATTTTCATGTAGGAATAGCTTGTTGTTGATTCCTCAAACTTGGAACACTGATTTAGTTTTATTTTTTAAAACACATTCACATTTGAGTCTAAATGTCTAAAACTGAGGCAAAAAGTGTTCATCAATGAAACAGTGATAATTCTAAATCTTCCATATGAACATGTTTTTTTTTTTTATTTCAGGTTTTGACATACTTCAACGAATTATAATTTTCTCATGAAATCAATTCTTGGACACTTAAAATTAATTACAGTTCTCTCATATATCATCAATGACCACAAAAACTCAAAGTGGCCAAACTAGTGTAGAATATACTATGAAATTAAAAACTATTTAGATTAAAGTGGAAAAAACAGCGGGGGGGTGGGGAAGTCCCTTGTGGTGAAAAGGGTTTTAAAATTAGATAAATATAAGAAGAATACAAAATGAATAAGGAAATTCTTAAATCAGTAAGGTGAAGTGAAAATACTACTAAACGTAGTTTTCTCAGGGGCAAAAAGAAAAAAAAGAAAGCTAAGAAAAAAGGAAAAACATTGCCCAATAATTTTAAAATTGTAAAGAAAATTAGATGGATGTACGATGGGGAGTGATAAGTAAAATATAGTCTTTTAAAATAATAAAGGAAAAAAATGCTGCTGAAACTCCAGTAAAAACTGGCAAAAGGAGAACAAGGGCCGCAAAGAGCAGAGAGCAGCTAAGTTGGAGACTGCGGTTCCACTCTGGGAGGCTGGAACGCTCGGCTGATCTTGTGGGCCCCTGGTCGTCCTGTGGTTTATGACATTCTGGGTCGGACAAGGCTCTCACGTCCCCCAGAGCGGTCTCCCCCTGGGCTCCACTTTGGTAGCTTCTCTTCTTTGCACACCAGAGACCTCTGCTGGTCAACCTTAGCTTTGCAGCCTGGGGGCCGGGGAGAGCAGGGGGACGTTTTAACTGGGTGGGAAAGGACAGTCTCTAACCACAGCAGTAAGGTCAGGGACAGGCAGAAGTCCCGTCCCCGTACTTTCAAGACCGCCTGGGTACTCATCTGAAAAAAGAACGTGGCTGTATCAAAAACGCCACGGAACGGCACGGGTCTTGGGTTCTGCAGCTGTGAACGACAGAAAGGTGGCTCTGGGCTTTTTTTTGTTTTTTTGTTTTTCCTTCTCCTGACCTGAGCTTGCCACTTCGTGTTATTTTCGGTCGATAAGATCTGCTCCTGTGAGCAGTGAGGTGAGGCTATCTGTCCCTATGTGCCATCCCGCCTGCACCAGGTCCCTCGCCCTTCAGCTGGTCCCCCTGCTCTTCACCAGGGGCTCTCTGGGCCTCCCTCACCCTGGGACTGTGGAAGGCCAAACGGAGGCTCCCTGACCTGCTGCTTGTTGTGACCTCTCAGGCTGTTGTGCCGCACTTTCCTGAGATTAAACACCATCCATCTCGGAGGGAAGGGCATTGAGACACAGAATGTTTGCAAGGAGGTGAAACATTGCATCCCGCAGGGAAGCCCTCTAAGCTCAGGAAGTAAACAACTTAAAAGAGCTTCCCCAGAAGTCCCTGAAACTACAGCTCCATTAGGCCCCTCCCTACCCAAGCACTGTGAGTACTGAGGCCTTCTGAAGAGTTACCCTCAGACAAGACAAGCTGCCTGGAAGAAGCAGGGATCATCTGAACTGCCTACAGGAAACAGAGACCAGCGAAGCTGCCAGGAAAAAGGCTCAGACCACCTGAGCCACCTGGAGAGAACAGTTTCCGCCTTCTGAGCTGCCTGCAGATAATGCAGTGAACACCAGCTTTCAGGAGCTGTCACCCATGCGGGGGTAGGCTTTGAGTCCTTTCAGCTCTGTAGGTAACCCTTCACCCATGCTCCTGTGAGTAACCACAATAGGAGTCATCCGCTCGCCAGGCTGACTCTCGTGGTATCTGCGCTTTGGACTGTCGTCACTTCCCTACCTGGGGTAAGTAGACGTTTGCTCATATCGCGGGAACAGTGTCACAAGAGCCCGGGGTAGCTGGGAGGTTGGAGGGGAGGAATTGGTTCTCTCATTGTGTGGCTCTAGGTTTTTAATCACTGGGGGGAGGGGGAGGTACACGTGGAAGGTCGAAGGACAGCCTCACATATTGGTCCTCACCCTCCCTTGGAGACCAGGGCTTTTATTGTTCACCACTACGCAAGGCAGGCTAGCTGGCCTTCAAGCTCTCAGGCTTCTCCCGACTTCGTCTCCGCTCTCGCTGTAGAAGTGCTGAGGCTACAGACGTGCACTACCAGGCCTGGTTTGACATGGATTCTGGGAATCCACTCCAGCGTCCTCGCCATTGCTTAATACTTTCCCCATGGAGCCATTTCCCTACTCTGTCAAGATGGCACCCAGGCACCAACCCCTGGTCATACTGACTGACAAGTGGGACTCTCTCTCTCTCTCTCTCTCTCTCTCTCTCTCTCTCTCTCTCTCTCTCTCTCTCTCTCTCTCTCACACACACACACACACACACACACACACACACACACACACACCTCTCTTTCTCTCCCCCCTTCTTTTCTCCCCTACCCCGTCTCTCTGGCACACTTGTAGGTATCAGTGTCTCACCAACAGCTAGACTGGATTTGAGGCTTGGGAGGGCTGTGGGCTTGTACTGGGGTTTGTCTGCCTGTCTCACACCTGGCTCCCCTTTGGAAGGGACTTATGCTTTCTTCTGACCAGAGAACATGGAAGCACAGGCTGTGTTCATCTTACTTCTCCACCTCATCCATCTTCTCATCTTATCATTTTGGTTTTCTTTCCTCCAGGTTTCCCTTCACTTTCTTCCTGGATTTCCGAGACTCTTCTGCCCTTTTTGCTTTGAAGAGTCTGGTTTTTTTTTTTTCTTATTCTAATACTTTCCTTCACTAGCTCCCAAGGGGCAGTTCTGGTCCACCATGGTTACCCAGAAGCACACTCCCTACATTTCTCGCTTAGTCTTTTAGTATGGTGAGTTCATTGTCTTTCTCATGATAAGTCGACCTCGCTTCCCTGAAATATATTTAACATGGTGGGTTTGGCTTAGTAGATTTGTGTTTAGAATTTTGCACTCATGCTCCGTAGGACAGTGAGATTGCTCTTTAATGTTCCCATCTGTATTATTCTTTTGCTATGAAGTCAGAGCACACAGCTTGGCATTCCAGCATTAAGCCAACGTTGCATTGATGAGTGTTCTCAGGTCAGTTTGCTGATACTTTGGATCAAATTCTCATACTAATATTCTTTAAAATGCTCTGTGATTTTTATCACTGTGTTTTCTTTGACTAATTTCAGTATAAAAATTATATGAACCTCATAACTCAGGATAGGGAGGCCTATCAGTTATCTCTGTCAACTCCCGGTGGTGTTTTACAGCACCTGTGAAACCTCACTGAGGGACGTTGCCAGGGAAACCCCATCCCTTCTGGAAGGGAGACAGCTTGGATTAGGCTTCAGCATTATTCCGGAGCAGTCTCCCCAATATGCTGTTCTTGGTAATTACTTGTTCTGCCCACTGGTTCTGCCACGGTTCCTGTCTTTCCTTTTGGGGTGCACTTACTCTTTCATCAGTAGCATAAAGTGTCTTTGAGGGCGGGGGAAGTGGTTGATGCTGGACACTAAAAACTTCCCCCATCTACTAGAAAGTTAGGGCCAGAAGTCATTTTTAAATTTACCCATCAGTCTATTTTATCTAAGATTGATGGAGCTGATTGGTACAACCCCCTCAAGAGCTCCAACGTACCCAACTCCACTCAAATGTATTTTTCAAAACAAAAAAAAAAAAAAAAAAAATCAACCACTGTTTCTAAGACTTCTCCTTGGGGTATGTGACTCTACTTTGGGACAATGACCTAACAGATCTATGTGGCACCACTTAAAGTTTCTCGGCATAGTCTACATAAACAGGCTGAAGGACTCAACTTGGAGTTTATTCACACCTCAAGGTTCCATTTAAAGTTAAGAAACGTTGGCCAAGCAGAGAGAATAGAATACATTTTATTTCTAGGCTAGCAATTCTGCTTTCTATATGCCCTCTACTTTTGTCTAGAAACCGAACCGTCCTTCCTTAACCGCTTCTTTATCTTGTCAGACTGGATCTTGCACGGCTTGGGGCAACCAGATGCCATTTCCAACATTCTGCCTGAGAACCCACATCACTAAATCCAAGCGTCTATAGGTCATCTTCTCTCTTCTGGTTTATACAAGCAAGTATTACCATATGTCATCAATGGCCACCCTTCAATAACAATATTATCTCCATTTTTCTGGCTTTGCCACAGTTGGCTTACCGTTTCTCCAGCCTCTGAAGCAAGCCCAGCTAGAAAAGCCACATCACATGCTTCTGGCTTTTGTATTACTAGCAACCCACTTGTAGAAACTAGTTTTTCCATCAGTTGAAAAAGCCATCTTGAAACTTAATGACTTCCAACAATAAGCATGAATTCCCTATGAGTCCAAGGATCTGCTGAAAATTCACATAATTTAAACTAGAGGTGGTTGGCCTTTTGGTAAGTCTGTGTGCTGGATACTGGGGATCATCTAAGATGTCCTTATTTATCTGCCTCACAGTTGGTGGCCTATGGGATGACTGGGTTATGTGTTTTTCACATTCAACAAGCCAACCAAGGTATGCATACATGATGGATGGATCAGGAGTCCAAAAGCATGGGATACCTCTCAAGGCACTGGCGATGACCAGCACATCACCATTTCCAGGCCCATCCCTTCCATTACCTTTTATAATCACTACAGTAACTGATGAAACTAATCCTGATGCAAGGATTAAGGAAGTAGACCCCACCTCTTTGGGGACAAGCTGTCCCAAAGTCATATTACAAATGGCATACATTTAGGGAGAGGTTAAAAATTGGAAATGTAGAGTTTTCACAGTCAATGTGATACAAGAAACATCCCAAAGTTTGTGGAGAAGTTTGCTTAAGATTAACCTATTCTTTGAATTTACAGTGTAACTTTTCTGTAAGACTATGCCAAATTCAAATGGTTTCTTTTCCTTCTAAAGTATTTATCAGAGTGTTAGCTAATGTAGCTCATGACCATAAGGTTTTCTGGATTTTCTTAGTATTTTATAAAATATTTATGTAAAATTGCATTTGTGCAAAGGCTTTTACACGTTCTGTTCTTTATAATGTTTTCATTTTAACAGTTGAGTTATTGACATAAACTTGTTTTTATTTTCTCATAGTCATTCTGACTTCTATATGTACAGTTACAGCCTCTTTTTCAATGCAATTTTTTTTTTCAGGGTTTCTCTGTGTAGTTTTGGTGCCTGTCCTGGATCTCGCTCTGTAGACCAGGCTGGCCTCGAACTCACAGAGATCCTCCTGGCTCTGCCTCCCTAGTGCTGGGATTAAAGGTGTGCGCCGCCACCGCCGCCGCCGCCGCCGCCGCCACCACCACCACCACCCGGCTCATTGCTGATTTTATTTGTGCTGTTTTTAATTGCTATCCTTTCAAGCATGGGATAACTGTGAGACAAAGAGAACTTTAAAAACATCTGCTTGTTCTCTACTGGAAAAAAAATCCACTTGCAGAATAGTCTCTTTTTACATCTACTTTGTTTGTTTGTTTGTTTGTTTGTTTGTTTGTTTGTTTGTTTATAGTGAGAGATCCACTGGAGTCTGCTTAAAGGATAGCCTGGCTAGCTCAGTCTGTAGAGCAGGAGACTCTTAATCTCAGAGTCGTGGGTTCATGCCCCACATTGGGCATCAGGTATAGGGAGCAGTCCACTGGAGTCTGCTTAAGGGATAAAGAAATTTATTAAGAAAGAAAACTCACTAAGCAGGATAGGAGAATTGTCACAGGGTCCTGGACGGCCGAGGTACTGTCCTCCACTGTTCTGGCTGCCTGAGTCAGTCTGTACCATCGAAGCCCACAAGGGAGAGAAGAAACTGGCTTACATGCATCTTAGGTCTCAAGGGTAGCCCCCAGGCCACACCCCAGAGGCAGCTACTTCAAGGTCATAGGTAGGCAGAACAGGTACCCACTATGTGGGTTCCAGGGATCGAACTCAGGTTGCCAGGCTTGACAGCAAACACTTAGACCCACTGAGCCCTCTTGTTGAACCGCAGTATTCTTTCCTTACATTTTCCAAGATAAACTTCCACGACTAAGACTCCCAGGGTTCCTGTGGAGCACATTCACCGCACACCGTTGCCCTATCCACGCGAAGGGGTTTGATAATACACAACCAACACACGAGGTAGTGGCGGCAGCTTCGTTTTTCACACGTCAGGGGTGGGGGATAATAGAAACCTGGGATTCATGGCAGTCTGGTCCTCCGAGGTCGAGGAGACATTTCGAGGGTAGGTCTGGTGCTGTGAATGTCCCACACTTCACTGCAGAGGAGACATCTAAAGCATGCTATACCATGGGTTTTCTGCCCAGGAGTAAACGGACTCTCTGACTAAATCCATCCATAGGAGGAGGAAGGAAAGGAACGGGAATAGGAAAGGGATGGCAGCCGGGCTGTTCCCCACAGCTCCTGCTGGTCTCAGGCTGGTGCCTTCCCCACACACTCCACTGTTAGTATTTAGAACTCCAAACAAGAAAGGCAGGAAGAGGATCATCAAGGCCCTGTCTCCTGCTTGTCCAGCACTTCCTTGTTCCCTTGATGGCGTCAAAACAGTGCCTCATAGCTCATAAAGGCTTCTGAAGTTTTGGGGACATTTTCTAGAGGTTAGATAGAATTCCAAAACCTTGTCAAAAGCCAAAGTCAGTATCAGAATCTTTCTATGGGTGATGTGATACACTGATATTTAAATTCAAAAATCCATAGTTTTACAAAATGTCTTGTTCACGACCAGAGGAAGTGGCTAGAGAGGCTTTTAACACAGTATTTGCCATTTTTGTAGTGTGAATTGCCTGTAACACCCATAAGGACAGAACTAGTAGCAAAATATAAGGGAAAGGAACACTAGTTGCCTTGAATGTCTGCCTGC